ATATATATAAAGATAGTAGTTTGATGGTGATTAATTTTTTATTATAATGCTGAGGTAGATGATTAAGGGTTTGTTATAATGGGATAGGAGAGGATATGAATGGTGGAAAAAAAAACTACTATACACGGGAAATATAGTTTGAATAGGTACCTAAATGGAAAGGGGTGGGTGACAGTAACTAGCTGCGAAAGAAGAAATTGACTGAAGACAAAGGAAAAACACTATGGGCTAGCAGGCTATATTATAAGCACCGGATTGGAATGATCAGAGGAAACCCATTGCCCGCACGCCTGCAAGGCACAAAATACGAAGAAAAATAAAAGTCGATGTCCTGTCTAAAATAGAATGTCCGAAGCAGACCGCTCATATACATAACCCCTGAACCCCTGAGTCCTCAAAGAGCCCCGCTTCCTTACTCATACTCTTAGGCCTGTGGCCGCACCCCAAACCACTACTCCCGTCCTGATTAGTTCTATTAGCGATTAGCGGTGCGTGTCGTACCCCGCACACGGTCCGTCTTACCTATTAGCTTAACTATAACATAAAATTAATAGCAACTATAATTAAATATAGTTATTTATAGCAGTATTAATGCCGTTTCACAAGGTAAAGTGAGGCAAGATATAGTAAAAGGTAATAAATGATTAAAGAAAGCAAGGAATTCCCGGAAGTGTAGGAATTTCTTTAACTACAGCTCTCTAGCTAGTGCGCGCGTAGCCTCACTCACAGAAGCAGGCAGGCGGGCTATCACGGACCTAATATAAGTAGGGAGCGCAGAGCGCGACCCGTCTAACTACTAGGAACGGAAAAGTAGGGAAGTTAGATTATCACTAGCGCTAAGGGTGATAATCGCGATTATCACTAGCCTTCGGTGAACGACGAGTAATAATCGACATTATTACTAGTGATAATAGTAATAAACAGGTTTATATATATGGAGGAACTGGCTAGTGTAGATAAATAGTTCCGCAGTATGCAATTCACAGTTGTATTTACAGCATTTTGTGTTTACATTAAGATATTTTATTGTGCACTGTTTAGCTATACCGAATTAATTGTTAGAAGTTACCTTTAACTAATATCCCTTTTAAAGGTTCTATATAGAGGTTCGTTATACGGCCCCACTATAAAAGCGGTGCGGCATAGCAAAATTCTTATTTAATTTATTTAATATATTAACGAACCTAGGTTCCGGCACTAAGTATTATTAATGTGTAGGTACTACTATGTGCCCTACTTACTGCCCTACAAATTAATATTATAGTGGGCAGTACTGCTATAAGTAGTAATGGAACTTCCCGGCTTGGATCTCTTTAAAATATTTTTTATAAATGTTACAGACCAACTATATAGCAAGGCAGAGTGGGGACTGCAGCAGGCTGTAGTGACTAGTTAAGTAATAAATAATAGCGGGGCTACAGGATAGTGGGGCGCTCACCTCTTAACAGAGGTAAGCCGGCTCGCTAGGAGCGTTAGGTGAGCGAAGTGAGCTAGGATGGATCACTAGAAGCGCTTAGTAATCGAGGTAATCTAAGTACGGAGGTACTTAAAGAATTAAGGTTTATATATACGGAGGAACTGGCCGGTATAAATAGATAGTTCCGTAATATATAATTTAAACTTATATTTATAGTATTTTATATTTATATCGAGATATTTTATTATATACTATTTAGCTACACCGAACTAATTATTAGAAATTACCTTTAACCCATATGCCTTTTAAAGGTTTTATATAGGGGTTCGTCACACGTTATATACTTACTTTAACTCTATTACAAATAAATTAAAGGTATTAAAATAATATTATAGCCGGAAATATTAATACTTAAAGGATTTCGACCTAACCTACTATCGACTAACTTTTCGTTCGTATTTAAAAGCTTAAAGATAAGTTATACCTTTCCTATAATATATTTACGTAAAAGAACGCTATACTCTACCAGGAAATTAGTACCTTACGCAGGGAAGGAGAGCGTATTAAGCTCGAAGCACTTAATCGCTATAGAGGTATAAGAAGAAAGTTAGGAAGATTTTTAATTTAACTTAAAGCTTACGTTTAGTACTACCCTTTTCGTTTCCCAGACAAGAAATCCAAGGTTATATACGCCGCGTTTAGGCTTAAGGATAAAGTATTTATTTAGTTCGAGCCGATTTTAGGAGATTACTTTAATAATAAATAAAAGAAGAGGGAAAATATTACGAAAAAGTATTTGAAATTATATAAAGGTTTTAAAGAGAAAATTAAGGAGGTATTTAAAAAGTATAACGAAAGTGAATACACTTAGGAACGACTAACTAACCTTAAATAAACTTAATTTATTA